ATCCATCAGTGTGTGTGTGTGTGTGCTTTTCGAGCAAGTTCGTGCGACCCACAAGGAGCGGCGGACTTCGCAGCGCTGTCTTTTTCTCGTCTCCAAGTCGATGCCTCAAGTTACTACTCGCTGCAGCCCTTGGCTACAGCGTGAAATCACGCACGAAAGCAGAGTTCGGCTGGTGCGGTCAGGTCGATGCAATTTTTCTGTTTACTGCAGAGGCATTTACAGCATGCAAGAAGGGTCTGTCGAACATCGTGGATTCGTTTCGTGCCCTACTCTATTGTGTCCGTTTCAGTCCCCGGGAGTTCATGCTCTGACTTCAGAGCTCTGTTAAGGCTCTCGCGGTCGCAGCAACGAAGTCGGGTTCATTGTCATTCTGCAGTTCTGCGGTGCTCTTCTCAGAAGCGATCACGCTACTGGGGCAGCCGAGTTCCCGTCATCGCATCCCAGGTGATGGATGCGGCCGTGCAGGCCCGGACACGGATGCATCTACTTTCACAATATATACTTCATAGTATATACGGAATATATAATATATTATATTCTTATAGTGTATCCACTTAAATGGCTCCATGACTACAAGAGGGCTCTTTTTTCGAAACGCGCCTTCTCGTTGTCCAATGGGAATGGCAGGTGCTGAGCCAGTGGCAGGCCAGCGAGGCAGATACAAACGTGATGGGGGCAGCGGTTGGGGAGCCAGCCCCAAGCCGTTGCATATTTTCGCAGGCCATTCGCTTGGTCTTGGCACTGGCGAAGCCGCGGCGAACAGAGGGCAAGGATCTGTTCTTTGTGGCGGTTCGGTTGTGCCACAGACTTCCGTGAGTGCAAGTTCTCAAGGACGAAGCCCCGGAAGTCTCCTCAGCACTTTGGGCTTCACTGCTCTCTGCCACTGCGGCGAAGGCAGCGGCTTCATGCATTGTGTCGCATGTTGCCCGAGCTTCTGCGCAGAAATGTATGTCACCCTGCAGACCTTGCATGTAGTGGAGGGGCCGCAAGGCACGTAAACCGGCTGCAAAGCGTTGGTCATGCTGCCTGGAGGTGCGTCCCGCATTGTCTGAGCTTCCAGCTGCGGAGCTGATTCGCTTCTGGGGCCTGAATCAGTCCACGCCTCATCTCCGATCGAGCATCCCAAGCCTCTCCCACACCCAGGATTGGCCCTCGCTGCAAAGACCCATGCGGAACAGGGCGGCAAGGCACATTGACTCGGGGGTTTTACCTGTCGAGCCGTCAAAAGGGCCGCCGTTCTGGCATCTTCTTGAGCACCTTCGTTCTACTCCCAGATCCGGAATCGGCCGAGCCTGAAGCTTCAGTCTTCTGTGCTTTCGTGGGCAGCACGAAGACGACAATGGGGTACTCGCAACAGTCCTCCAGGGCCCTGGTCGTATGTTAGGTGACCAGACATGCGCTTGCATCTTGTTGCGGTTTCACGCGAAGGAGCTGCTCGAAGGAGTTGCCGTGGAGGCGGTGAGGCGACTGGCCGACTTGCCTCAGGCAAGACGAAGTGGGACACGCCCGGTCTAGGATGCGCATGATGAGAGCGATCGAGCCCTAGATATGATCTTACGTGCTTCGCTGCCTGGCCTGTTGTAGTTGCATGGATGTTGCTAGAGCTATGTCGTCAGTGCACAATCCGCATGACATGATGCGAACTGCTTCGTTGCAGCTGGGAGTAAATGTCATGGCTAAGATGGTGAATGTTTACGGGCAGACGTGGTGTAGTGGTTGTGGTCGTGGTTGTGGTCGTGGTCGTGGTCGTGGTGGTGGTGTTGTGGTCGTGGTTGTGGTTGTGGTTGTCGTCTTGTTGTTGGTGGTGGTGGTTGTGGAGGAATTGCTCAAATTTTTGTGTGCCATTTGCAGGCACACCTCCTCCTGCTCACTCAAGGTTCAGGGCCTCAGAGCTTGTATCAGAGCCGCCTTTCTCTGCGCATGTGCTCCTTTCTATTGTGCTGTGGTGGCATAGGTCTTACGCCGCTGGGTGGAAAGCATCCGAAAGTCCGAGAAATCTGCAACTACTGGAGCGAGGCCCGAAGACTTGCTAGTTCTGCGTAGGCTGGTTCTTCAGTGACTTATCCAGAGGCCAATCTTGTGGAAAAAAAGTGGGAAACCGCGTCTCCATGGGTCCGATCTGGTCAATGCCCAGCTGCAGGTCCTCGGCGAAGACCCGGAGAAAGGCGATGAGGTCTCCAAACGGCGGAAGGAAGCAGGAAGGCCCAGTGAGTCCCGCGCGTGTGACGGGCAACCGGTCACCTTCGTGGCTTGCCGTTCAGTCCGTTCTGTTTTTGGAAGGTGCCGTCTGTTGGTTGTGCGGCTCAGGTGGAGCGTGGCCAAGCGCTGAACGGAGACCAGGACCGGGGACGGTGCTGTTCTGTCGCTGGCCGGTTGCTTCCACCTCTGCTCCTACAGCCGCAGAGCTCGTGCGAGGGATTTTATGCATTCGTGGGCCAGTCTGTGCCTGGAAGTATAAATGTGACCGCAGGTAGCGAAGCTGGCGCTTATCTTCGAAGCTCTGTCTTCCGTGCCTCGGATGAGCTCCGGAAGCCAGCACAGGTTTTGTCAGCTGTCAGCTTATTGATGGCAAGAAAAACTAGTAAAATGCTCATAAAGCTTGTGTAGCCCATAATCCGAGTCGGATCAAACACCCAGAACAGGTGTGCATCCAGCACATTCCAGCACCCGGTGCTCCCTTGCACCCATGGTTTCAGAAGCGGGGATCTGCTCTCCATGGTCTTCCGGAGATGTCCTGCAGCCTGCAGGGTTTGGACACGGCAACCTCTGACCGCTGTTTCTCCAGCCTGGGGAAGCAAATCCTTCTGCTGACGAGGCCTCGATACCCTCCATCCATATCTACCTATCTACTTATATACCTCTGCACTTCTCTACCTATCTACCCACCTGCCTGTCTTCTTACCTATCCCAAGATCCGCTTGTGCGTGCATCTGCCACTCTTTTCTTCTCTGTCACTCTCATTCTCTCAGTATCTTAGGTCTTAGGGTTTAGGTTTGAGGCTGCAGTCTGCGTACAGGTCTTCACGGAGCTTGCCGGCAGCAACTCGCGAGACATTGCTGGACCAGATAAGAAGGCAGAGGGCCAACATGATTCATGTTGCATCGCACCCACGTCAGTTATGGCACGGTACTGTTTCTGCAAACTGCCGTAGCATGGTGCATCGCATTCCATCACTGACTAGAGACAGCACGCACCCGAAACTTAAGCCTTTTCCGTCACCATGGCTGCCCAGGGGTCAAGGCATTGGTCTTTGGGAGTCCGGACGCGAAGCTTGGATGTCACCAGACAGTGAGTGCCTGGACCTGGGAGTAAACCCCCTGTGCTTGGGAAGCCCTTTGCCATGCAAGAACAAGTGGACATGCCCCACACCCTGTCGTTCACACACCGTGTCGTGCAGTACTATCTGTTCAGAGTCTCTTGCCAGCGCATGAAGACGACTGCTTGCTGAGGAAACTCTCCGCAGGGCCTTGGACAAAAGAAGCAGGATCTGCGCACGACATGGCTTTCGATTCGCAAATGCTTTCAGAAGCTTGCATCTACGGGTATTTCGTTTGTGTTCGCAGTCACTGAATTCGTTGCAGGAGTCGACGCCGCAGCAGCAGCAGCAGCCGCAGTCGCAGCAGAGGCCAGCACTGGGAGGTAGAAGCTGATGAACAGCCTCGGCTAGATTAGATTTGGGGCTTGGGTCTGCTAAAGCCAAGGGACAGAAATGCTCCAGAGCGTTCGTGCGCAAGCGAAGGTCGCACGAAGCGTCGAAAGAGTCCTTCGAGGCTGGCCCGATCTAGATCTGGGTCCTGAGAAGAGGAGGCCGAGGCTTGCTGTGAATGCCTCCAGGGACAGAAGCCGCGGCCGCCGCCGAAGCCGAAGCTGACTGAAAGAAAATGAGAGGCTGCTGCTACAGCCCCACGGCCCCCTGACGTGTGTTGCCGTCATGGCGCAAGCATCACTCCCATCCCGCCAGCTTCTCCGAATCCAGATTTCTCGTGCACCAGGCTCTTCAGCCACACAGAAGTCTAGTGGCATGCTGCCTACATAAGCTTTCAGACATTTTTTTCGGCCTTCGTACAGAGTGCATCCTCGAGGCCCAGCCAATTAGCCTAGGTAATTATCGTCTGGAGGCGTCCGGTGCCACGAAACAGCTTTGATAGCTTGCAAAGGCTCAGACTTTCACAGATCGCACTTCCATACAACACCGTGAGACTGCTGCACACGCAGTCCTCTAGAATGATTGCATCTGACACTGCAGGCAAATTACAGTCTACGGCACTGACATAAGAGCCCAGCTGCGAGAGCGTGCGTCAGTGTAGCACCTTGTATTTGCGCGGCTGCTGCCGGCGGCAGACGCCGAGGTGCTGCCCCTGGGCTTGTGACAGTCGTCGAGAGACCACGGCAGACCCAAAATGCTTTTCCTGATAGACTCCCTGCCAAGACACAGGGACGTGTGAACGACTCCCATATTCGTGCAAACCTCTTGTCAGAGAGCCTTATCCCATTCGCCTGAGAGCCTATCACCCCATGTGCATCTGTGCAAAAATCTTTATCGCAAATACATCCTCCCACATTTCGGATAGCCCTTCACCGATGACGATGAAGGTCGTAATCATGATGGTGATGATGGCGATGATGATGATGATGATGATGATGATGATGAGTGGAGCTGATGATGATGATGATGATGATGATGATGATGCTGATGATAGTGATGATGGTGGTGATGGTGATGGTGATGGTGTGTGATAGTGATGAGTGATGAGTGATGATGAGGAAGACGACGATGATGATGGTGATGGTGATGGTGATGAGTGACCATGATAATGATGATGATGATGATGATGATGATGAGCAGGAAGATGATGATGAGTGATGAGAATGCCTGGGGCGGCATTCTCCCCTCCCTGTGGACGACGGACTCTCTGCTCTTTCTGCCATTGGGGATTTGCTGCTCTCCACTCCCTTTGTGCAGCAAGGATGGGAGACTGGCGGGTGAGGGCGCAGCTAGTCTCTCCCCCCAAAAACACATTCGGCTGAGAAGGCATGTCCTGTTACAGCAACCCAAGCTGAACAGAACGCAGGCAAGCATTGAATAGACAAAGCTACGGTGACACGAAACATACAACTACTTGTGTTGCCGCATGCTTTTTTGCCGCATTGTCAGACACCATTCCCTCTCAACCAGACGATGTGGTCATGCGTCACGTGGCACGGCTGTACAACCAGAGGGTGTTCAATTGCAGGATACATGTGACACAAGAACAGCCATCCGAGTCGTATCAAACTACTACTGTTCTGACTACTATTCTGGGAAGACAAATGGTGATGATGCCCAAGGTTGCTGTGAATAGTATAGGTGTGCCTGCTAGTCAACGCCAATAGCTTGAGCGAGCTGGACTCTGCCCACAACGAACCGTTGAGCATCCTAACGGTAGAGCTGCTCGCCGGCTGTCAGGCCTTGGGCTCCTTGGGCTCCTTGGGCTCATGCTCATCTTGTCTGCAGCGGTGGCGAGGGGGTGCGGCGCACAGCGGAGTTCTGCTTGCGCGGGGCCTTCTGCGTGATTGGAAGGGGGAGCTTTTGGGAATTCGGGGGAAGCTAGTCGCAACCTGTCTGATCCTACCAGTGCCAAGTCCAACAGCTAGGGCTGCTGCGATAGTATGCTCCATGCTCACTCCTTTGTATTTGCTGCGAGTCTGCTCTGGGGAGTCACGCGAGGACTGCTGTTGATTGCTGTTGGCCAGTTCAAAACTGGATCCTGTCAGCAAGTGCCGGCTGCCTGTGCGGCCCGAGCTGTCTTGATTTCGCCCCTCCCAATTGGTGCAATAGTAGCAATATGTGGCAGTCCTTGTGGTGACAGATATTTCAGACAGATATTTCGAACAAACTGCTTGTGGATGACCCAGTCAGCCGCCAATCGTGGTGCCTTCAACTGTAGCTGAGGACCTTTGTCCTTTGTGAGTATGATGCCTCACCAGGCCGTCAAGAGCTTGAGAGTCTCACAGCTCGTCCGAAAGCACACAGCGAGCTTTGAAGCATGTGTCGCAGCCTTCCAGTTGCATATTCTGTAGTGATTGTGTGGCGAAGTGCCAGGCTCCGATGACTTGACAGAAGTCTCACGAAAGGCTGCAAGCACTGCAAGCAGTGTCCATGTTTCGTTTCGTAACATGCCCCAACTTTGGTCAGGTGCTCCCAAAGATACCGCGTACTGGGGCCATAAAGCCTGAGCCTCAAAGCAAGGCTTGCAGTTCGTGCCCTGCCCCTCCTTGCCACAGTAACGTCTTCAGGTCCTATGTGTATGGAGGTCACACCTTCAACTACTTGCTTGACAAGGCCAGGCCAAAGGGGGCCTTTGCTGCCGCCTGGGCGCCTCAGCGGGTCCTCTCAGGAGCTGATCTTCTTGTGCATCGCCTCCCCTACTGCCGGCACCGAAATGGCTCGCGCCCAAAAATCAAGAATGCTCTCTGTGGATATATGGTTATCTATACTCTAGTCAGTCTTCGCTCTCTCAGAGTGTTTCTGAGAAAGAAGCACCACAGAGGTCTTCGAGTTTCTCAGCGAGTTCCGACGAAGTTTTGAGGCCGGTAGAGCTTTTAGCTTGCTTGGATTGCAGGAGAGTGCCCGCACTGGACAGCTCATATCGACATAGAGTCCGGTGTGGTTGTGCATCTTTATAGCTTTGACATGGAAGACAACGGAGGACTCAAGCCGTTGCGCTCGTGTGTTGCGTGGCGTGATGCAGATCGAAGTAGCTCTGATCCTGGGACTCGAGCTTAGCTGTGTGCCACGGCCATGCACCATGCCCAGCTCGATAGCTAAGTGTATGTCATGCTATGAACCTACGGTTTTCCAGCACGAACGGGCGGTCCAAGGGGCTCCTGCTACCTCGACTCTTGAGAGGCACAGACCCGACGGCTGGGACACCGTGAGGACGAGCTTGCCAGGAGCACGTCGAACATCGTCTTCACTTTATAGCGCTTTGAGTTCTTCAGACCGGTCACGAGGATGCTGCGAGATCTCATCTCGCGCTACAACAGCGATGGCGGTGGCAAGATGCAGCAGATGGAGAGAGATCTCGAGGAGCTGACAGTTCTTCGGGTCCAAAAAATGCCGCTCGAATTCCCCCATGCTCTCCGTGCAGGATGTGGCTGACATTACTCAAAATGCCCTGGCCAAGGCGGCTCGCTGACCGGTCTCACAGGGCTCGTGCGGCACTTTCCCGCAGTTCATAATTATTTAATGTTTGACTGACGAGTCAGAGTGGGGTTCTGCAATCGAACTTCGAGCCATTGCAGCCTTGGCAATCTCGAATCGCAGCATCCTGGATGTTCAGGAAGTTATGGCTCACGCTTGCCAAGGGGGCAAAGTAACCTACAGAACGGAGTTTGGGACGTTTGTGCGCACTTTTTTTCTCAGAAGCACGGGTTGATCATGGCTTCACCACGGTCCTCTTTTTGTTTCGATGCTGCGAAGGTCATCGAGCGCGGCGAGCGCATCGACTCTTTGCTCGACAAGACCGCCGCTTTGAAGTCGGAGTCTGCTTGAGCCCTTGACTGCCAGAGCTACCGACCTCGGGGAGGGCACTGTCCGTCGAATTGGAGGTCTCTTTCCGAACGAATGCAAAGCGCTACAACGATGATCTCTGGTGGCGAGACCAGAGAGGCCATCGGAAATCTTAAGGCTTCGTTTGCCGGGATCGTCACGCGTCCGGGAGGCCGAATGCTCCTCGGCATCGTTGCCATGGCGGTCATCGTTGTCATCACCTTTCTCAGCGTGTGCTCCCGGCAAGCTTCAGGAATGCCGGTCTTCTGCGGTGGCCAGTGGTGCCAGGCATCAGAACGAGCATGTCGCAGCAGAGCGAACATCATGATGCATGCGCGAATGAAAAGCGCGCTTGCAAGATAGATCCGACCTGATTGGGTGTCAGCGAATGGTTTGTACAGCAGTTCACGTAGCATGTTCCACAAGATCCTTCGAATTTCGCTTCGAACCGCTGCTATCAAGCCCGGCTTGGATATGGGCAGAGATTCCACGGGCTGGTCATGGACAGGCCAGGCTTGAACCAGAGTACCGTCTGACGTGTTGCTTGTGCTGAGCAGGACCAACTGCCTCACGATTGGGAGCCTCAGCACTCAAGCAGGCGATGAAGAGAAACGAGTCGAGCCATTGCATCCGACCGTCGCTGCGAAGAAACTGAAGGTGAAGCTTGCAGGGCTGCATTGTCCACTTGCTTCGGAATAGGCAGGGGCTCAGCTGGGACCTTGACGCCTGTAGCTCTCTGGCCTTCAGGCCAGCGGCTTCTCCACGGATTCGAGGCCGAGCCCGCAGAGGCGAAAGAAACGGAGACGGAGATGGCGGAGGCGGAGGAAGCCGAGGCCGAGGCGCAAGCTGCCCCGAAGCTTTTTGTGCCATGCAGCAGACCGTGGGTCTGCACAGGAGACACCTGGCTCCCGCGAAGTAAGCGCAGACCTTGGTTTCCTGTGTGACCTGAGCGTACGGCAAGCAATGTGGATTCAAACGAGGAGTGTGGCGTTCGATGAAGGGTCTGCTGCATCCCTAGATCCCCAGATCTCATCTTGTCATGGACCATTCTGTATCAGAAGTGCATGAGACACTCGCGGGTTGAAAGCTTCAGGACGTCGCAGTCTCAACTCGCTTTCGAAGATTTGTCGCCTGCCGGCCGCCTGCTGAGTTTGCCTTCGTTTTGTCGGTTGTTGTGTGACTCAGAGCAAGAACCCGAGGTGGAGAACAGCAGCCGGAATCAGGCCCAAAAGAATTGAATTGGAACCTCACTCTTGCCTCGCTTGGCTCCAGGCTCTTCTGGCGACTCGAGCTGCGAGGCTACCGTGGCTCCGTTTGGCCGGCGGCCGAAACCTGCGCGCACGCGAGAGGTGCAAGAGATCCTTGAGCCAGAGACGCACGGGACGCTTCCCAAGGAGCGATTGACCGAGGGGAGCTTTGAAGTGCCAATGTGCCAGTGTGCCAGCTGCAGGAGGGCACAGCCTCCTCTGAGACAGAGCCGGCAGACACAGGTGCTCGAGGGCTCTGTTTGCATAAACGCCTTCCATGGCTTTAGCAGAGCCCCTCGAAGAAGACAAATTCATCCGCACTGCCCACGCCAGCTCTTGTCCTGTGGACATCTGTGGCCCATCACAGAAACGACAGTGTACGAGCAGCATGTAACTTCAGCATTCTTTGAGCAAGAAAGCTGGCCCACTGAATCGATCTGCTGATCCGAGAAAGTTTTCTTTTACCCGGGGCTCGGGAGATTGTACATGGCGCTGGGGTGCTTCGGAAGTCGGGAAGGCACTGCAGATGTGCCATATCGCTTGCAAGGCACCGGCACCGAGTCGGACACAGCTTTGCCTGAAGATGTGGCCCTGCTCGAAGAGCCCTACTCCGCCAGTGAAGGAAGTGAGAGGCCCGTCTCTGGCATCCTGAGCTCTGCCCTGTGCGCTAAAGATCCGCGACTGAGACTGAGACTCTGGCTTGTCTGTACAGGCTCAGCACAGACACTGCGGCTCCCGTCAACGCCGTGGACATGGGGCGCAGCCTCCTGGAGCTCCTCAGGCTCTCCGGCCGGAGAGGAACTGCAGAAATTTCTGCTGCCGCTGCCGGTCTCGGCAGGACAGGGGCGGCAGCGAAGCAAACTGACACCTCTGCGTGCAGCTGAGTCTTGCTTCGGCCAATGCGCAACACATGGCGGGTCTCGTTGTCTGTGCTGTGCAGAGGCTGTGGAAGAAACCCAGCTCATCTGTCAAGCCACTCTTGAAAAGAAAACCGAGGCTGAAGTCTGCAAGAGCTATAGGCTTGATGAGCGACAAAAAGCCTGTCCAGGAGCCAGATGAATTCAGCTCTCCTTTGTCCTGCTCTCAGCCTCTGAGCCAGCTTACTTCATACGGTCTGATGCCTGAAGGCCACTGCCACACATAGCCGGACTGAGCTCAGCACTTTGGGAGAGTTTGGTCTGGCCATTGATGGATCCAAGGCCAAGCATATTGCTGATTCGGGTGCGGCCCAACCGCTTGCTTCTGCTGCCAGGCATCCAAAAGCCTTCGTCGGACACGATGCATTCAGAGGTCGCGGCAAAAGTGAAAATGCTTGTTTTGTCAACACATCAGCTTCCTAAGCTGGGGGAGGGAGAGGAAGACTCTGCATGCCGTGTCTTACGGTCTTAACTAAACGCCAGGATGCTCGCACATGCCAACCGGACTCCGACCTCAGGCTGTGCCAGGTCACTTTAAAACCATCTCCTCTGCATTGAAACGCCAGGTCCTGGTGGATGAACGCAAGACCTATCAGATCATGGCCATGCCCGCAACCCAGCCTTCTGATTAAGAACCTGACCCGTAAGCACTTGCTTAGCCATGCGAGGTTCAAGCCTTCTGGATGGGCAACCTGCTCAACCCCTCAATGGGAAGGCCCTCTGTGGCCTGTGCACTCCGAGGGAGTTTGGAGTTTGGAACATGGGCCCACGCAAGGCCTCGAAGGCAACCTCATTCGACACGTGTGGTGCTACTTCAATGCCGGCACCCCTCGTTTTACAACGTGGCCGCTTTGAAGCCCCGGCTGATGTCGCAACCAGGCCCCAACTGCGGCTCCCTGCCATCGCCTCGACAAAGGCACCTCCGGCATCGTGGCCGGAGCCTCACAGGGCAAGGGCAGACTCCGATCCGAAGCGCTGGCCTCTCTGCACTCGGCCGAGTTGGTGGGCACCAACAAGACGGCTTCCAAGCACATCTGCGCTTTCCTTAGATAGCCAGTGGTAGGAAAGCTGGTGGCACAGACTTCTCCGAGTAAGGTCAGCAAATTCTTAACAAAGGGATCGTGAAGCAGTACGTGGCTGCCTCGGCTAGCGCCGGCTCGGACTCGGCCGTTTCCGGGCGCCTTGAGGTGGGCCTCTGCCATGGCATGGTGGAGCCAGGGATGGGCGTCTTCTCAGCGCCCTTGGCCTTTGGCCTCAAAGGGAACCAAAACCGAGTCCAGTCCGAAACGGACGAGCGCCGACTCAGGCTCTGAGCCGTGCAGACAGGCGAGGTGCCTTCGCTTTCTCTCAGACCCACATATATATATATATATATGTATATATATATATATATATAGATATATCGCGATTTGAGGCCTCTTGGTGCCTGCTCAACGGAGGGCCGTGAAGCGGTGCGCCTGCTGCGTGCTATAGCTTCTAGAGCTACGGCAGCTGCCTGCCCCAATGGTGTGACGGCAGGTGACCCGCTTCCGGGTCCTTGGATACTTCCATGGTGCTTGGGGGAGCTTCAGCTTGCTCCAGGTGCGGAGTTTTAGTTGATAGCAGCATGTAATCCAGTTTACGAGAGGTGCAGATCGAACATGGACGACAGCACCAGATCCGACCCTTGGCTGCATTCCCCAAGCCACCCGGTCGTGTAGTCTGCGGTAGTCTGGTGTAGTCTGGTGACCGGGTTGCGTGGCTCTTGAGGGCGCTGAGGCTCAAGGCCAAAGTTGTGCCCGAGTCCTGGGCCTGGCCTGGCCTTAATCATGAGGTGCGACGAGCTCTGCGTTTGTTGGAGCTTCCCAGAGGTCGGCAATGGCGCTCACAGATGACTTGTTCCAGGCAGTCGTGCCGGAAGATGTTGCAAAGCTGGGGCTGGTGTTCACGAGTTTGCCCCCTGGCCACATCGAAGTGAAGTCAGTCTCCTCCGGAAGCTGGGCTGCTGAACAGGAAATCCTGCCAGGAGACTCTTTGGTGCGAGCGCAGGGTAGAGACCTGGAGCAGGTCTCTGATGATGATTTTCGTGACATCACGCAACAGCGTCCTCTCACGCTGGTCTTCGTGGCAAGCGATTCGGATGTACAGGCAAAGAGACTTGCAAGGATCGCCGCTGAGGCTCAAGAGGCCAAGGCCAAGGCCGCCAAAGCTGAGGTCGCTAAGGCTGAGACAGCCAAGGCGGCAGCTGCCAAGGCTGCGGCCGCCAAGGCTGCGGCCGCCAAGGCTGCGGCATCCCAGGCTGAGGCAGCAAAAGCTGAGGCAGCAAAAGCTGAGGCAGCAAAAGCCGCGGCAGCCAAGGCCGAGGCCGCCAAGTCCGAGGCCGCCAAGGCTGCAGCAGCAGAGGCCGCCAAGGCTGAGACAGCAAAAGCTGAGACTGCAAGAGCTGAGGCAGCGAAGGCTGCAGCAGCGGAGGCCGCAAAAGCTGAGGCAGCCAAGGCTGCGGCCACGAAGGCTGAGGCTACCAAGGCTGCAGCCAAGGCTGAGGCCACAGCCAGTGACACGCCGCTCTCGCAGCCACAGACGCCTCCTGCCCAGCCACAGACAAAAGCCGAATCCAAAGTGACCAAGCCCGAAGCAAAGGCCTCAGTCGAAGCTCCAGCGGCTACAGAGGCCCCAGCATTGGCATCGGAATCTAGTGAAGTTCCAGTCAAGCAAGGCCATGACGACCATCTTTCCCCCGATCCACCGACAAAACCGGTGCCGACTTCAACCACATTGGCTGCAGATCCACCAGCAAAGCCATCCAAACTCACCACCAGCAGCGCAAGCCAGAAGGGCACCTTGAATGCTTCTCCAGCAGAGGCCACGGCAAAGGTTTCGGCAGATGACTCAGTGACCCCTGCGCTTGCGCCCTCCCTCCCAAGGAACAAAGAGGTGGACCCGGAGCCCGTGTCGCAGAACACGCTCAGAAGCCAGTCTGGAAGCCAAGCGAAAGCAACTGAGCTGAAGCCAGGCGGAGCTGGACCAAGAGCTGCAGCGAAGGTGTCAGAGAGACATCAGGAAGCCGATGTGCAGGCGGTGGATGCGTCCTTATACAGGCCGACACCCGAGGTGGGGAACGTCCACGAGGCGATGCCGAAGCGGCAAGCAGCTCGCATGTCCGATCCCGAGCCAAGTGCGACGCCTGCAAGCTTCAGAGAGCCCATCAAGCCCGGCGGACATGGTCTTGAAGAAGAGCTCGCAGAGAGTCGGGCAGAGCTCCAAACCGCACATGCAGAGCGGGCAAAGCTGCGAGACGAGGCCAGAAGTGCCCAGGGCTTGATCAAGCGGCTCCGCAGTGAGCTGGCTGACGCCCAAGTCCGGACTCGGGCTCCTACGAGACAGTCGCATCAGTCGCAGGCCGAGGCCGAGGGTGCAAGTCTCCCGAGACTCGACGAGCTGCGCCAGGAACTGGACGAGGCTCGAGGCGAGCTTGCGCGGCAGAAGATGCATGGGTCTGGACCGAGGGAGAGTCTCCTCAAGACAGAGCTGGGAGAGTTGGAGGCGACCATGAAGAAGGTGAAAGCAGATCTTCAGAGGTCGCAGCAGGCCGTGCGGAATTGTGAAGCAGAGATGATGAGCGAAGCCGAAGGAGGTGGTGGCTCCGGCTCCGGCAGTCTCCCTTTACGCATGGAGCAGGCCGTTGCACGCGGCCTGCAGCGGCAGCTGGTGGAGGGAACGGTGTCCGCCAGCTACAAGGCGAGCCAAAGTCAGGAGAATGAGATCGAAAGTGTTAGGACGGAGCTGCGAATAGAAAAGGCTGCCATGCGCTCCTTTCACCGAACAGCTGGGAGCGACATAGAGTCAACTGTCCAGCAGGCAGTACAGCAAAGAGAAGACCTCAAACAGTCCCTGGTGCGAGCCGAGAATGCTGCGGTCCGTGGTTTGCGAAGGCGCAGTGACGAAGCGAGACGGATGACGCTTCAGTTAGAGGATCCATTGGTGCAAGAAGCAAATGCCATCCGCAGCACGATTCCGCAGCAAGAAGAAATGGAGGAGTTTTTGTCTGGTCAGCTCCGAAACCTGGAAGAGGCCACTGCCGCTATGGTGGAGGGCGACTTGGGAAGGGACGCCTTCCAGCTTGTGGCAAAGGCCCAAGGGTTTGATTTCGCCGAAACCACAGCGGCCAGAGCGCTAGCCGAGGAAGCGAAGGCTCTGGCCCATGCTGAAGAAGCACGGAAAGAGCTTCACGACTCTGACTTGTATGCCGCACGGGTGGAACTGCACAAAGAAAGAACCCTTCGTCTGAGGGCAGTCGACGAAAATACAGAGTTGCTGCAGCGCCTCTCTGGAGCATCCCCTCCTTCAGTGACCGGGCAGGCACAGAGCCAGCCCTTACATCAGAGCCCGCAAGCGCTGCTTGCCCAGGCTGATGTCCAGCCTCAGCCCTTGCAGGCCATCCAGGCCCCTCCGGATCCTCAGGCGCAGCACCGCGCAGAGCCGCCCGACTCCTTGCGGGCATCTTCTCTACCGGGTGCAGCAGACCTGTCGGATGGCCCAGTGATGGAGGCCCGAACTTCGATCCACTTCGGACTTTGGGAAATTCTGTGGATGTCGAACCTGTGAGGCACTCCCGCGGCCAACAGAAACTGAGCCTGGCCTTCGTCAGATTGCGGAATCTGGGCTGCACAGAGAATCACAGAGACTGAACTTCTGAAGTCGCTCCATCCTCATCCAGAAGCTGGCATGGGCCCACTACTATTGCTCCTACTACTACTAC